CATAAACTAAAATGACAATTTAATAAACTCTGTCAGCAACTTGGTCACGTACTCAGATTATTCATTGACATTTGATTATAGATAAAATGAACAACAGATTAGTCACAAGCCTTCTCACTTCATTTTTGGTTGTAAATTGTAGTTTTGTAATGCTGCTTATGTGCGCCTGGTACAAGAGCCTGAACCTATGAGGAAGCTTTCGGAGCGTCTATTCAACGACATGAAGAGCCTGCACATTACAGGTTTTGAAGCATGCAAGGGCGAAGTTGAGTTCCTTCTGCACATGGTTGAAAATGCCCCTGCATTGGAGTTCTTATGTATAGATCACTCATATCAATATCCAATAGAAGGCTTTCGCAAAGACAAAGAATTGGATGTTGACTTGCTTCATACAACTACAAGAAGGCATCTTAAAGGAAAAATTTCACCCAATTGCACCTTGATTTTACTTTAAGGGATCAGTTGGTGTAGGGATGTATAGCCAGGGATGGAAATCCGATGTGGTATCCTGATGAAATGTTGGGGGCAGCAGAGGATGGACTGTCAGGTTCAGAGAACGCGCCGACTGTTTCAGTTGTCCAGTGGCTATGAGAAGTCCATCAAGCGTGATCCGACGGCTCGTGATGCTCGCCGTGTTTTTACTAGTTATCTGTAGCATTTCATTTACTGTTCTCTTTCATTTCACTGTCAAGGCTATATGACAGCCAAGTCCCACCGCTGCGTGGGTATGCCATTTCTATTGTGATCAAGGTTTTGGTTACCGAATGAGGCATTTTTACCGAGGGGGACTGGAAAACGCGGTTACCACGGTTACCGAGAAATACCGAAAAATACCGAGAATATTTCGAACGAATTTTATAGTTGAATTTTGAATTCAAATAAGTTAATGAACGAACATTTGAACCAAAGACCTCTCAAAACACGAACTAGGTTCCGACCAACAAGCCAAAACCAACTCTCATGATATTAATTAGATTCTATGTACTTTACTATAAATTGAGTGTTTAAATTCAAAAAATTCAAATAACTGGTATTTTTTGCTTGGTACGTGGATTTACCGAGGGGCACGGAAATACGCGGTAACCATGGTAAATCTCGAAATTTCGACCGGTAACCAAAACCTTGATTGTGATCAAATCACTTTACAGCTATACTGCTACAGTACACTATAATTAAGATTTCCTCTTTGCTTGGCTGAATTGATTCCTGAAGTCCGCTCAAACCCTAGCTTCTAAATCGATCCCCTTGTAAGCATCAACACTGTAACTGGGTACATAACATGGATAAGCACTGCGGCTATTTTTGATTTCATTTTGTTGGCAATGATTTCTGAATGTTATGCAAAACACACCGTTGCTGCATCTGTCACTCTACTTTGCAGTTGCAGGTGTCTGTCTCAAAATTTGGTGTAAATCCAACTACGTACATGCTAACAACACATAGTTGCCGCCCACACTTGACCTCATCTGTCTCCTAGTTTCTGCTATCTATCCGAACACATGAACATGAATGAATGCAGCTACGAATATACTCAGCAAATGAAGAGCGCGAGTGTATCTACTCTATGATGAACGACAAGATCGGACCTCGGCGAAAGAGTGATGGCCGTGCTCCGGAATCCATAAGGATGTTGTCGATGATGAGAGCCTCCTTGCGAGGGAGGTGCGGCGGCACATCCACGACCACCGTCGACGTCTCGACGCTATCCCAGCCCCGGATCATCGCTCGTGCCTCATCAGCACTCGAAACAAGCACCGCCTGGACGCTCTCCTCGGAATCAACCTTGCCCTCGGCAGCAGCATCACTCGGCGTAGTCAGAGCTACAATGGCAGCAGCACACGCAGCGGCGGCGGCATCCCGCATCTCGAGCATCCTCATCATGGCCAGGACGTGAACAGTGATGACGTACACCGTGCGGTCAAGGGCTAGACGAAGGGCGATCAGCGCAGGGGTCGGAGCAACCACTCGACGTCGAGCCGGGAACCTCGCGAGAGCGTGGCGGATCAGTAAGTGCACGCCGTCATCAGCGGCTGCGGCTGCGGCTGGGGTCGGAGCACGCGGGCGGAGCCTGGCGGGTGCACGCGGGGGCGGGGGTGGGATGCCCGCGTGGGCCTCCTCGGTGCCCGAAGGGAGAAGACGGAGGCTGAGAGGCCGGAGAAGACCGACAAAATCTAGAAGGACGGCATCCTTCTGGCGGGGAATCGCGGACAGGAGCCGGCGCAAGGCTAGGTAGAACAGCACGGCAAGGACGGTGGACTTGGCGCGGGCGCTCGGGGTCGGCGGAAGAAGCCGCCGACACTGGTGCTCTGGAAGGCGAAGGAGGAGCCGCAGCGCGAACGGCTCCGTCGGCGGCGGAACAACGCGGCGTGCCCAGTGGACCAGAGCGCCAAACACTATCCTGTCCAACTGCTCGCGGGCGTCGACTGGAGCGGGAGGCGCTGGGGCGTGGAGTGCAGCAGGAGGCGCCGCCGCGTCGACTGGAGCGGGCTGCGCGCCCGAGCGGATCCGGGCGAGCGCGAGGCGGAGCAGAGCCATGGGGAGGAGGGGCGGAGCGACCGCGAACGGAGGCGTCTGGCCGCGAGGGAGGCGGAGGATCCCGGCGGAGAGGACGGCGGCGAGGATGCTGCTGGCCTCCGCGGGCTGCGTGGCTGGTGGCGGGAGGAGTACTCGAGCTGCCTCGCGCGCCAGGAAGCAGAGGAAGTCGAGGGGGGCGTCCGGTGGGAGGCCGCGGCGACGGCGGTGGAGAAGCCAGAGGAGGCGGCGGAGCAGGCGAGCGACGAGCTCCATGGCTGCCGGCGGCGAGCTGTTGGTACTCGGCGGTTACGGTGGGCGGGAGGGTTCTGATTTTGGGGGCACGGGCGGGGATTTCGTGTTTTTTTTTTCCTTTAGGGAACGTGGTAATTATATTTAGATGGGAAAAGATTACTCGTGCTCTCTTTTCTGGCCTTCAATCAAATCAAATTTGGGATACAAATTTCCCTTCAATTCTTGTTCGAGACAATTTAATTTGTATAAAAAAATGCATCATTTCTTTGCATGGATATTATCTACTTATCTTTTGCAGATCAAAGAGAGTCGAGGACGACTCTTCATCAAGGGAGGGAGGATGATGAGCACATGGGTACATCATACATGGCATTTCATAAAAGTGCACAATTTAGTTGGAAAGAATTACTAAGCCGAATCAAGCAAGCACATGGCCAGGTGAACGCTAAATTAAGTTCATACCACAATCTTGAACACATGGTTGCACTTTCATCCCCATTGTTGTTGGTTGAACTTAGGTATCACATGGAAGAAATCCAACAACCTATGAGCTCTTTAAGCAACCGGTTTGGAGGAACAAGTTTGAAGAAAACAAGTTTCAAGTGAAGCTGATGCTGTCAGTTTTTACCTTTGATGTTTCATGGTGGCACACCCATATGGTGGAGAGACGTGGCAATAGGGTTACATCAACAGAAGCTAAATCAAATTATCTTTCCAATGCAAAAAACCTCACATCATTTGAAGTTGTGAGTCAAAAGTACTAGTCATTCTCGTGGAAGGTTTCCAGGCTGTCTGGGCTTCGCGAATTTCCGAGGAGCTCTCCAACAACTTCCAAAGTTGACTGCTTATTCCCCTAAAGAAGCCATGCAAACCTGCTTACTTTTGAAACCATTTTCACACCTAGCTAACGGGGGTTGTCCTTGCTATAAGACCCCATCTCCCCCATCCTCTTAAAAACCTTTTGTCAAACCATTCAGCTACAAGCTTATGCAGTAAGACTGCTAGAGAGATTCGAGAGATCTTGCTACCTTTGCTCTTGTGAGTTCATTCGGATTCGCGAGAATGAACCTCTGGTTCCCCCTAGTTCGTGCTCTATGGTTTCGTCCGTTTTGTGTGGATTAGTCCCGGTTTGTGGTTCTACGATTGTTCGGAAAGTGGGTTGGAGTTCTTGTAGCTTCGGTCAGCCATCCCCAATGTATGGGTTGCATCCAACCTTGGCAGGTATAAAGCTAGTTATCCCGGCTGCTTGCAGCTTGTTATCCCTCCCGATTCGATCCTACGACGTGAAGATCGGGCCACCCTCGGGCGTGAACTCGTTATTCGGTTTCTCACCTATCATCTGGCATCAGAGCCTTCATTGATACGTAGGATCTGTTATCCAAGTTTATCTTGCTATCATCCCTTTAGATCGAGTGTTTTTATGCTATATTTTCTGTCCTAGAAGTCCAAAGCCCCACCAAAAATAAATCCAAGCCTTGTTGGTGCTGAGATCTTGTTGTTGCATACCTTGTATGTTCTTCATCTTTTAGATCTGCACTAAGTTCATCTTTGTAATTGCTTTCAGATTTGGTTGGTGTGCTTTGGGAAAAAAGAGAAAAAAAAAGAGTGGCAAAAAAAGTCAAGAGAGAAAAAAGAAAGTGTTGTGTAAGATCCAAAAGTTTCAGCTTGGTAGAAAAATTTCAGAAGCTTGGGTGTTCTGTGTTCTTCAATCTTGGTGCAAAGGTGCAGCAGATCTATCCCCATATTTTCTTGGTTTGCATCAACTTGATTTCAGCACAAGCCCCCTTTTGTTTACCCCACCGAGCTCCACCAAAAACCGAAGCTAGTTCTTTGATCCCTGTCTTTCAATCGCTTTAACACATCCGGGAGAAGCACAATCTGATGTGAACTCATAAGAACTTTGGTGAGTAAGAGGTGAGGTTGTGTGATTCCACAAAATTATCCTATTCCACTTTTGGCCTTACTAACATGGCAGGATCTAGATCGAGTGTTCATGGAGAAAACCATGGGGAAGAAGATGCCCGGTCACACGTGCTGATTTTCAGGAATTGGTTTGAAACCTTGGAAGGATGTTTCACGAGTGACCTCCAGCAGGTGGCGATAGGGTTCGACACCGAGAACACCCTATTGACCCACTTGAGGAAGTTGTGGATGAGAATTTCGTGCATGCTGCTGTTGATGGTGCCTTGGAGGATGATAACAATGGCTATGGTGGACATGTGGCTGCTGCTCATGGAGGGCAGCGAGGAGGACAACTTCGAGGGCAAGGCCATGGTCCTCGTGGGCACTACTATGACCTTCGTGAGCGTGTTGCTCATGGTCATGGAGATGATTTTGATGATTATGATAGTGTCCCATACCGTTGTGCTGCTGAAGATGGGCATCATGCCGAACATCGTGACCGAGTTGGTCGAGATGACATAGCAAGAATCAAGTTGCACGCCCCCAAGTTCACAGGAAGGGAAGACCCCGATGCATATTTTGATTGGGAAGAGCAGTGTGATCAGATTTTTCGTATCCATAACCTTGCTGATCCGAAGAGAGTAAACCTTGCTTGTGTTGTGTTTTCTGGTTATGCACTCACTTGGTGGAATCAACTACAAGAAGATCAGCTGCTGCTAGGCCGTGGCCACATGGACACTTGGGAAGAGATGAAACAAGCCATGAGGCGAAGGTTTGTTCCTTTAC